AGAGCTGAGGCAGTAAAGCCTCTGCTTGGGTCCGTCAACACAGTGAGATGGGGGCAGGGGAAAAAAAACCAGCCCCCATTAGGCCAGGTCTGAACAGCACACAGTGGGGGGAAAGCACCCTCTGTGGGGCTTATCACCCCCCCACCGCACCCTCGAGCTGGGCTGAAATCACTTTAGCCCCATAACCCAGTCAGCTGCCATTACCTCCAAGTTGCTGTCAGGGCAGGGGAATACACCCACCCAGCCCAGCAGCGGTCCCCCAGCTGCGGCTTGAAAAGCACAGGGAAAAGCCCCTTCTCCCCAGGGCTTTTTGTCCCCCTACAGCCTAGAGAGCTGGCTGGGATCCCTTAGCCCTTCCCCTTCACCAGCTGCCCCTGCCTCTGAAGGGTGGAAGGGAGAATACCCTCTCTGCACCAAGGGCAGGGCTCCAGGACCCTGTTGGGAGTGGGTAATGCCCACTGAAGCTCAGGGATCCAGCCAGTCCCCAGCTGGAAGGGCTGTTCCCTGCCAGCCAGCCCCACCCCCCCACCCCCCACACATACACACACCTGTGGGGACAGGGTCAAGCCTGAACCGTACTAAGGGGTGGGAAGGAGAAATCCCCTCTCTGCACCAGGGGCTGGGCTGGGAGATTGGCCGGTGCCTGGATGGAGGGACTGTTCCCCTACCACATGTAGGAGTGGGACCAAGCCATGTGGTACCATACCGAGGGGTGGGAAGGGGGAATCCCAGCTCTTCACTGGGGCTGAGGGGACCCTGCCAGGAGTGGGGAACACCCACTGAGGCACAGGGATCCAGCCAGCCTGGGGCTAAAAGGACTGTTCCCCCCTGGGGGGCCAGCAGGGGTTGGGGGCATGTGCTAGGCAGCAAATCAAGAATGAGTCCTGCTAGGCTGCATTCAGGTGCCCTTGGCAATGGCTGGTAGGCATGATCTAGCATCCCCGGTTTTTGGTCTGGGTTACTGCAGCGGTCTGGCTGCCTTTCCAGTTTCAAAAGTGAATGTCAGTTGACTTCATTAATCAGTTCAATCTATACAGTTTAGAGAAACCTGAAAAGATTGAATCGATTCAGCCTTGAAATTTTTGCCTGTCTGTACTTAGCCCATTGGATCAGGCTCTCTCAGAATGTAGCAAGTATGGCAAGAGGTGAAGCATGACCCCTTCTGGATCTCCAAAACAGGGAGAGGTTCTCCCTTGAGAACCAGCCTTAGAGCTGCAGCCTATCAAAGGATCTAGTAGAGCCAAGGACATGGGTGGTCTTACTTTCTAAGCTGATGCTGGAGGACATGTGGCAGAAAACTGTTTTTACATTCAGGATTAGATGTGGATCCTGTAGATTTGCCCAGGAAAGCCTGGTCTCACTTTTTCTGGCTCTAGATGTAAATGAACTGCATAGACCATCCCCTGAAACATGGGACTCCTGAACGCAACATGCAATTGGACAGTCCATTGGAGGCATGCATATTTTTAAGCCCAAGATTTGGATGGTCAGGATATGAATTGTGATATGAAGTGCGATAAAGACTATAGAAACCGGGGTAGTTTATTTTCTTGCTAAACAAAAAATACTTTATTTTCTCCTGAACAGATCTGAACTATAAGTGCTGGCTAATACAGTGGGACCCTCAAATATAAACATGGTGCACTGGACAAGTGTTTATCTTCGATATCACACACACGCGTGTATACACAGAACACTGACATTCATGAGTATGCTAAGAACAGTTCCAGTTTCTCTGACTTGATCCCCATAAGATGGGATGCAATTTATTGCCAGAAGTAGGAAAATTGTATTTATAGACGTTTCCTATTTAAAAAATACACACACAACCATTCCTAGCACCCCAAACATTTTTAATCTATTCTGTATTCCATAAAGAAACATCTAGATCAGGCTTGTCCAACATACGGCCCACAGGCCGCCATGCAGCCCACCAAGCTGTTTTCTGTGGCCCGCAGTGCTGCGACAGGAAACGAAAGTAAACACTGTTTACTTTCGTACCCATCCCTTGGCCCTCCCCCAGCCCCTCAGCAGCTTCCTAATGGCTGTTGAAGGGCTGGGGAAGGGACAAGGTTCCCACACGCACCGCATCAGCTTGACGTTGCCGACGTGGTGCGTGTGGGAAGAGGAGTAGCCATGTGCCACTTGGGACAGGATAAGCCCAGCTGGAGCAGCAGGGGCTCAGCTGCACTTTCCCCCTACCTGTGCCAGTCAGTCCCGAGCGGCACACGGCTTCCCCGCCGCCTCTGCTGGCTGGTGCCAACCTGGGCAGGTCTGTCCCATCCGGAGCAGCATGCAGCTGAAGCTGGCTTCCCATGTGCTGCTGGGGCCTGGAGGAGCCTGGCCGGGTCTGCACCGGCCAGCAGAAGCGGCGGCGGAGCCATATGCCGCTCGGGACAGGACGAGCCCGCCCGCAGCGGCAGGGGCTCAGCTGCACTTCCCCCCTCCCTGTGCCAGTCAGTCCCGAGCGGCACACGGCTTCCCCGCCGCCTCTGCTGGCTGGTGCCAACCTGGGCAGGTCTGTCCCATCCGGAGCAGCATGCAGCTGAAGCTGGCTTCCCATGTGCTGCTGGGGCCTGGAGGAGCCTGGCCGGGTCTGCACCGGCCAGCAGAAGCGGCGGCGGAGCCATATGCCGCTCGGGACAGGACGAGCCCGCCCGCAGCGGCAGGGGCTCAGCTGCACTTCCCCCCTCCCTGTGCCAGTCAGTCCCGAGCGGCACACGGCTTCCCCGCCGCCTCTGCTGGCTGGTGCCAACCTGGGCAGGTCTGTCCCATCCGGAGCAGCATGCAGCTGAAGCTGGCTTCCCATGTGCTGCTGGGGCCTGGAGGAGCCTGGCCGGGTCTGCACCGGCCAGCAGAAGCGGCGGCGGAGCCATGTGCTGCTCAGGACTGACCAGTGCAGGCAGGGGAAAATGCAGCTGAGCCCCTGCTCCTCTGGCTGGGCTCATCCTGAGGTTCATTTCATGTTTGTAAAATGCTTGGAGAGCCCTACATAGATGCACTGCATAGAAATGCAAAATATATTTTGACTTATTTGGTTGGCACCTTGGGCTGAGATTTTTAAAAATGTGTCAAAAGGCCAACTTCCATTAAAATGAATGGGATTTAGAGGGCTCCAAATCTTTTATGACAACTTTGTAACATGCCTATCTACCCCTTTTGAAAATCTCAGCCATAGTTTGGAAGCTCAGCCAAAGAACATAAGAGCATAAAAAGTGCCATGCTTGGTCAGCCCCAGGGTCCATCTAGCTCAGTATTCTGTCCCGAACAGTGGCAGAGGTGGATGCTATAGAGGGAGAGTTTTGAACTGGGTATTTGGACCCATTTTATTGTCACTTTCTGCAACTTCATTGGTCTCAAAGGTCACGTGACATCACTTCCTGATGTGATACCACTTCCTGTGAGGTCTTTGAATAAGGCTCACCAGCCCACTGGGTGATAAAAAGTTCGTGATCTGGCCCCACATTCAAAAAAGTTGGATACCCCTGATCTAAATAAATCCCTTTCTGGTAACACTTCAAATAGTGATGAATCTGCTGAACAATAACAAGACAGAAGACATGCAAAATACACTACTGTTTTATGGTTTCAGACTAGAGAATAGCAGCTCAGCCAGAACACCTGACTGCCATCACTATGAAACTTACTTGATAATTACAGCTTTAAAAAAAGACAAAAGTTTTCTGCCCTCATGCTGAAAGAGGAAAGTTTGAAAATGTAATCCAAGTGCATACTGAGGCCCACAAAAAAAGTGCACACAATTTTTTCATAGGATCATGGTTTTCAAATCAGTGTAATAATTTTTTTAATATTTTCAGTTTGCAATAGTAGGTTAAAAAACAAATAATGAAGTCAGCCTTTCTTAGTGAGTGCACAAGGTGACTGAGCTAAGGTTTCTAGATCATCATGTGTGAGGTCAGGCATAGCTTGGTTTAAGAGTAATACATAGGCAATGCATAGGTGGGGGGCACATGCACCCCCAGATTTCTGTGTTGACAGCAAGGTGCAGGCCCAGAGCCAGTGCCCAGCAGCAGCAGGGGCGGTGGTACAAAGTTGTGCCCCCCTACTGTGAACACTTAAACGTCGTCTATGGAGTAACAGAAGATATATAAATAGCAGAGATATTTTTTAGCATACTGTACATGGTCTAATGCACAGCTGACTTAAATTTGCAGCACCAGTTTCTTTTCACTAGTGGAAACTGACCTACTGCAAGGCCTAGAATAGATCTTTGCTCAAGCAAATGGCATTTCTATGGTAGCTTATGTATAGTTATGTCTTGTATTCTTGTTACATCCTAACTATTTATTGCATCTCTTGAATAGGAGACATAGTAATCACTTTAATAAGTCAAGAATTTCAGATACTGTCTACCTGAAATTCTGTAGACACTGAGGATGGTGGGTGCTTCAATATATTTATGAGTAGATCCACTGACTTATCTGTGTCTACACACTCCTATAAGTATTTGCAGAATTTGAGCCCTATATCTAGTATACTAGCACCCTCTGATGTTTGAATTCTCTATTTTAGATTTCACTGCCTTGATCAGCCTCAATAACATAGTCTTTTTTGGGGTTCTATTTCAGGCTAACAGCAAGTAACAACTGATTGGTCTGTGGAGAACATGATCTTTTTTATTTGTTTACGTGAAACATATGAGCTAGCTCAGGGGTAGGCAACCCCTGGCATGGATGCCAGTGCAGGGCATGCAAAGGCATTTTCCTTGGCACATGCATCTTGGGGAGGACAGTGGGGAAGGGGTTGGGGCTGCACTGCCACAAGGATTAGGCCCCTTACAGCTCCCGCGCCACCCCCACCCCCCCAAGTATACCAGCATCTTACAAGTTGAGGTTGTGGGTGTTTTTAGCACTCAGCCCAAAAATGTTGCCAACCCCCAAGCTAACCCATTTTATTCTTTTTCCAAGCAATAAATACACAAAGTCTGGGAGGGCAGACATTGTTCGAAAAAATTATTCTTGTATTTTTAAGATCCTCACCTTTGCAACTCCAGCACGATGAGCACCTTGCGATTCCATGTAGGCTAGGTACTTGTTGAACTCCCTGAATTCACCCATTGAAGGCCTAAAAGTCATAATTTTGCAGCTTGGGTTTGGAGGACTGTCTATGACTGCAGCAGCCATCGTGGTTCAATATCAGTCTTGCTAATAAATAAATAAATAAATACATACAATTGTTAATAATGATAATGATAAATGCCAATTAAAAAAATAACATCTTTCATTTAAAATATTTTTTCAAAATATGCCTGTGCCTAGTAGGAATGAATTATTTTCAAGTATTCTCTCATATACTGGAATAAAAGAGCACTGCAACCCAAATATTAGAAACATTTTCTTCCCACTCATTTAATTGAATTCTTCAGACTTCACCCAAGATAATGAAAACCGTCACAAGCAACAGCTGCATAGTCTAGATCATACTTGTTTGTTTATATACAAACAGAATTTCTAAACTTAGCCTTTAATATCATACTAGCATTTGTTTGAGCAGGTTCATCTCCAGTTCACTGCAATTTCCTCTATCCAAGTATTTACAGTATGTGATTCCAGTCATCACAATTATCTGTGCAACACTGCTGTCTTATAAGGAAGGATCAGTGTTCACATTTTACACAGGGGAATTGAAGCACAGAAAAATTAAGTGATCTGTCCCATTTCACACCAGAAATATTGTAATTTACCTGAATCCAAGATCACTTCTGATTTCAGATCCCCTGAGTAATTAGATTTGACGTGTGGAAAACTTATACAATTTATAATTTTCCATGTATAGAATCTAATCAATGTAGGATCACCTTAAATTGGTCCCTCCTGCCACTGTAGTGGAGAAAGATGCAGCAGGGTGGCAGCAGTGGGAAAGGGGAAAGAAGCAGGGAAGTCGACTGGTCTGACCCCTGTAATTGGCCCCTTGCCACCCGTCTCCCTTCCCCACAAAAAACTGTCCACACACACTTTTCCCCACCAGCCATTTGGCCCCCTGGTTCCTTTGCATCTCCCGACACCCTCCAGTGCCTGCACCCCACTGCCATTTGCTCCCACCACCATGCTTTCCCTTAGTGACAGCCCTGGCTCTGGCCCTGACTGGCCAGGCAGCAGCAGTTGCAGCAGCAGTAGCAGCTCCAATCCCAGGTCAGAGGCAGAGCTGCTGCCTGGCTGGAAGGGACCAAAGCCACTCCATGTCCCAGGCTGGGACAGTGTTGAAGCTGGAGCCATAAACAAGGATAAGCCACAATAAGGGGAAAGCAGCAGCTGCAGCTGAGACTCCAACCGTGAGACCAGGTTGGGGCTGAACTCAGAGCTGCAGCACTCACCTGCCCCCTACCTCCCCCGATGTTGAAGGGGGGGAGGACGGGGCTGGGGGGAAAACGGACACGACTTCTGCCTTGGATTCAAGTAAACGCAGTACACAACTATGTCAAGAACCCAGATTTCCTGTCACCCATTCCATTATTTTAACTAAAGGATTTTTTTTTTCTCATGTTTCTCTCTTTTTTTTAAACAGGTCTGAAAGTATATGATAAGTGTAGAGAAAAAAAGTCCTGCCCTTTCCCTATACCAAATATTATAAGCTGCTATCATTAGATTTGATGGAAAACAACACCAGTTATTTTTGTCTCAGAAATTCAGTACTCATGAAACAAAATGAACATTTGCATGATTTTTAGGTTATTTCTGCTGCTGAAATATAAAATGCAAATGCTGCAATCCAGTCTTAGAGTACTACAGAACCTATCTCTAGCACAGAGCCTGAATGGGTCTCACGTTTATAGAGCCATAGGCTCTACATTTGTAACTACTGTATATTGCATACCCCACAGCAGAACTTACTAATTCAGCCTTTAATTCACTTAGTAAATTTGCTTTACACCGCCTTAAAGATATTGGACAGGAAAAAAAACATTGCAAGTAATACCAATTCAATGTATGGCACTGTTTCACTTTCTCGGTTATGATTTTGCAATTACATAGTATTTTAATAAAGTGTTGTTCATCAATTATTGTCTCAGAAAAAAACATAAAAACCATCATCAACAAATACCAGACACACCATATTAATACTAGGTCAAAATGAAACGTTTGCTCAGTCATGGAAAAGAAAATTAAACCTTATTCACATATTAAAACATCATTGTTCAATGTATTTGTATTTCAGAACATGCAATACTAAATGTGTGAGTGTACTATTATACCATGATCTTAGAGAGGGAAAAAATAGAACATTAAAAAAGTGATTACCATTAACAAATTAATCTAACATTGTGGGCAGCAGCTATGAGGCGACTATCAGATAATTTCACGTGCAGATGCACCCACTGTGCATTAAGGCAGAGCAATAAACTCCAGCACACATCACACCAGAGTCAACTGTTCCCAGGTGAAGCATTTACACATGCACCTAAGACTGCAGTGCTCTGAGCCAGGGCAGAGCAGCCCTGGGCTGGCAGGGGGCACTGGGGACCAGGCCCAGGCTCCAAGTGGCAGCAGGGGTATCAGTCAAGGGTGGCAAACATGGAGTCTCTACTCTCAAACAATGAAAATCCCTATGCAGTTTTCTCATAGAAAATATCCAGTAAATAGAGTTGCCCCGTGTTGTGAATGTGAAAAAGCTACATCTGAAAGTGACACTGGGAGCTCTAAAAATCTACCATTGCTAGGAAAGGATATCCCCAAAAAGTCATAACAATGGGAATGCAAGTAAGAGTGTTATATACAGATCATAAATATCTCTGGCAACATACTTCTAAATTCTGGGGGAAGGCCCTGTCCAATATTCCCTCTAAGGAGTAGCGGTTCGTGAGAGCACCGCCTTGGTCTGGCGTGGGACACTTACCGAAGAGAGCCGAGGGCTGGGGGCTGCAAGCCGAGGCCTGGAGGCTGGGGGCCGGAGGCTGAAGGCGAGAGCCAAGAGGCCGGAGCCGAGAGGCTGGGGGCTAGAGCCGGCTCTGGGGAAGTGCTCCACTCCCCCGCATCAGGGCCAAGGAGTGGAGCACTTCCCTGGAGCCGGCGGAGCCCGTGCCAGCCCCCAGGCCCAGCCTCCATCCCTGCCTTGCCTCACCTTGGGCCCCAGCCGCTGCCTGCCCCAGTGAAGCTCTGCCGGCTCCAGGACACTACTCCGCTCCCCGGCCCCAACGCCACATGCCTCCTCACTCCCCAAGGCCATGCAGGGGAGCAGAGCAGTGTCCTGGAGCTGGCGGAGCCTCACTCAGGGCAGGCAGCGGCTCCTCCCCAAGGTGAGGCAAGGCAGGGGTGGAGGCTGGGGCACGCCAGCCGCTGCCTGCCCCAGTGAAGCTCTGCCGGCTCCAGGACACTACTCCGCTCCCCGGCCCCAACGCCACATGCCTCCTCACTCCCCAAGGCCATGCAGGGGAGCAGAGCAGTGTCCTGGAGCTGGCGGAGCCTCACTCAGGGCAGGCAGCGGCTCCTCCCCAAGGTGAGGCAAGGCAGGGGTGGAGGCTGGGGCACGCGCACACCTTAGAGGGAACCTTGTTACCATCTTCAGGATCCCATTTGGAAACAAACAACAACCAAAATACATAAGGAGAGAGAGAGAAAATAAATGAAGCTGTGGGGAAGCCAGGCTCAGCTTTGGCTAGGGAGTCCCTAGCCAAGACCGCCATAGACTGAGCAGTAGCTTGGATAGATCACCACAGGATTGAGCCAGTTTATGTCTAGTCACAGTCAATGGGAATTGCTCCTGCCCCTTTGTCCCTTCTTAGGAGGCAAAACATAAAAAGTACTACATAACATTAGCCATATTTACTACAGAGCCACAATCACTGTGCTGAGAATGAAACTGTAAAACAAAACTCACATTTCAATAATTGACACCCGACCAATATTTATCAAGGGTTAGAATACTGTAAAAACAGCTTTTATCAGGTAACTTGAAGACAAGGTCTCTTTAACCTCGGTTTAAGAACATTCTAATGCTACTTCTAATTTTCAGGTGGTGCAAACTCTAGTGAGGAGCTGGTTATTCATCTTTGCGGCTGGCTAGCTCATGCATTTAACGTTTTAATCTTTACCAAGTGGTTTGAGTGCACCTCCCCCTCACTTTCAGAAACTGCTTCAAAGTTCACTCTCTGAAAAGAAAGGAAACTGATACTCAAGCCTCAGCTAGTAAGCTGAAGTCAATTAAATAAAAAAGGTGCAACAGACAAGAATATTTAATTCTTTCCAAAACAAAATCGTTTCAAGGAGGAAATTGAAGCTAGAATCAAACACTTGAGGTTGTAGCCTATTACGAGCAAATAGTCTAGCACTTGCAGTTGTTTACTACTGCTGAAATGAAAAACTTCTCAAAACTTGATATGAGCATATACCATGCAGATTGGTGATTTTACAGTTTGTATCCTTCCAGTCTACAAATTACCCCCAGGGTTAGCAACACACCTACTGACAAACTTTCATATCAAATTTATTTTAAACTTTGTCCTCAGTCTTCAATATTCAGTGTGACTTGGTGAGCGTAACCAAGGAAACTGATTTTTTCTCTTTATTCTGATACTATCTTATTCTTTCCCAGGTAGATTCACGGTAATAAGCAGGGATCCAGGTCTTCTATTTCCCACAGGAACATTTGCGCGGGGGGGGTGAAAGCAGATTGTCCCTTTTAACCAAGACAAATTTGGATTTTTCATTTCAACAGAGAAATACATGGGTTTTCCACTTTTGCAAAGAGTTCTCTACAGACTGGGAAAGTTCCGGCCTGCAGGGGTTGAAGGGAGCAGGAAGAGGGTGGTCAGGCAGCGGGCACCATGTGCATGTGCATGTTTACACATGCACACAGCTGCCAGGCAGCCTAGAGGGGAGGGGGGTTTAAGGGCCTCATAAGGAGGGAGGGAGTTGGGCAGTGCTGAGGGTGTGACCACTGCTGCTGCCCAACGTGTGTGGTGCATGGGGTTTGGGGCCCAGGTCAGGAAGGCGCAGCCACAGGAAGCAGGAAGTAGGATGGAGCCATGGGCTGCTCATCCAGGGGGTGGGGCTGGCTCCCTGCCACTGTGTACACTCCCAGGGATGCATGGGGGCATGTGCCCCCCAGATTTTTGCAAGGGGCAGGCTGCCCACTGTGGGCTTCCCACCCTGCTGACGTCCTCCTGGGGTTTCCACAGCTCAGTGGGCAGGACATGGCGCAGCTAGGCACAATGGGGCAGTGTGGGGAAGTACCTTGCCGCTCCGAGCCCTAAGCCACCCTGGTGAAGCGCCCCCGCCCACCCACCAGCAGCAGGGGTGGCGGCATGGAATTGTCCCCCTCGCTGCTGCAGGCAGGGGGCACCTTGCCAAGATGGCACAAAGCTCCTAGCAGAAGCAAGAAGCTTCCCCACCTGGCCCTGCTCCACCTTGCCATTCCGTGTCCCACCCACTGGGCCATGGAGGCCCCAGGGGGAGGTCAACAGGGTGGTGAGTGCAAGTCTGTAGATGCCTCCCCTCCCCTCGCCAATGGGCTCCACTCTGGCCATGCTGCCTGACGGGAATGGGGAGCCAAGCTCTGCTTCGCTGAAGCAGCAGCCACCTCCCACAGATGCACTGCTGTTGGGGGTAGGGGGCTGCAGATCCAGGTCTATGGCCCCATAGCCCTGGCAGCTGGGGATCCCCTCTGGCAGGGCTACTGAGTAGGGGGGGCTGTGGCTTGGTAGTGAGGGACCTGGACCTGCATCCCAGTGAGCGAAGAGGGCAGGGGAAGCTCTGATATTCTATGATAAAAAAACAAAGTCAAATACCAAAATGTATAGGCACTTAGAATTTATTTTACTATTACCCAATTGACTATCAAGAATGACCCGGGGGG